GACGCTGTACATAGTGCCCCATGGGGTACAACTCAAAGATCGTTTCATTGTGAATATTGGACAAACGACGGTAATGGGGATCGGACCCTATTACGATAGACGATAGACCCTAGATCGACACCCTATTACGAGCCATACTTTGTGTATGCTCATCACATTTTTCGATTTCGAAGTTGACAATCCAACTGATCTACAGTTTTTAGTGGTAATTGCTGTTTAAGTGGTAACTGCTAGCTTCACTGATGAAAACTTTACTATCTACCTAGTGTCGGTCTTGCGCTAGCATTCAGGAAACGCATAAATGTTTCAAATATTTGAAATATCAAACTAACCGTCATCTGCTCATGAAATGCTTTTTCTGCAGAGATAATCGGTGCGTAGGTGGTCAGAGGAAAGTGTATGCGAGGATATGGCACGAGATTTGTCTGAATTCAATTTCTGAATCTTTTTGACTTTCTGGATTGAACAACAAATAGTTTACTTGGAATTCCGTTAGGTCAACGTTTAGAGCTCCATCGAAGCGTAATGAAGCGGTGACCGAGCTAATCACCTGAAAAAAAGTAGCCTGCAAGGTTTTCAAGGTCAGGTTAAATTATGTATATCTCGGAATCGCTACACAAAATAGTCGGTGTGTGACGATTTTAGTGGCCCAAATCACGATAACATGGTTTCCGAGATTTCTTTTTGAGATGAACCTAGGTCCTCCGAATGTATTTGGTAAAGAGACGCTATCGGTCAAAAAACGGCCGAGTTAGGGCGTAGCAGAGCCTTAAACCTGTCCAGCTGACCTATACACCCAAAGGCGGACGAGTTCGCACGGCGTTGTAGAGGCTGCAGAGATTATTGCATCATTCGCACCGGGACGCTCATGCTGCGCAGAGGCAGATTACTGTAGCGAGCTGCGCAGTGGCACATACATACGGACAGCTCGTCCATATACAACTTCTGTACAGCTTTTGTCATCACACTCTAATTTCATGGCTCTTTTAAACCTGGTACTTCTCTGAATAAGCCTGTTTTCGCTTTTTTCGCCACTTTCCCACCATTCCGGATTAACACCCCCATTACTCGTCTGAAACCAGATACCCCAGAATTATCGTGAACTGTGCCTTTGAAGTTGAGAACCTAGCAATACAATTAGTCGACCCTAATCCATCGAACAGCTCAAGGAAGTCCTCAACTAATTGTCCCTACCGTTGTGAATATGAGCAAAATGAGATAAACTGCGAGAGAAGCATCCAGATCATTTTTCTTTCACCCACCTGAGCAATCAGACGGTTTAGATTCGTGTAAGTGGGTCGTGCCAGGTCCAAATTCCTTCTACAGATGTCATAAATGGCTTCATTGTCCACCATAAAAGAACAATCCGAATGTTCAAGAGTAGTATGTGTTGTGAGAATGGAATTATACGGTTCGACCATTGCAGTAGAAACCTGTTGTGAAGAGTTAGTTTAAGAGATAGTGAATTTTAGGAAAAATCAACCTGGTTCTGACCTGAGGTGCTGGGTAGATGCAGAATTCCAGCTTACTTTTCTTACCGTAATCAACCGTTAATCGTTCCATTAGCAGAGATGTGAATCCAGAACCTGTACCACCACCAAATGAATGGAATATGAGGAAGCCCTGAAGCAGCACTGAATACTTTTCATTAAGAAGTGAGACAATACAGTTATAGTAGTACAGAATGCTAACGTGCTAGTTTGTTTTTGTTTTGCTGAGGCTCAAGAGTAGAGTCAGGCATCTCTTTG